ATAATAGTGTAAAAGAAATTTTTGAAATTCCTTTCTTCAACATTAAATCACCGCAAATCTCCTCGTGAAATATCACTTTTCTGATCAGCTTCATTATCGAGTCCCTCTTCTTTTACTATCACTTCGCGTTGACTCTAACTGCTACGGAAAGCAATATTCTCTATACGATCCACGAAGTGATATCTTTCCATGTTCATACGGAAACTACTTATATTCGCAAGACCTCAAGAAAACTAAGTTTGCTTCTCTTACAGTTCCTTGTTTGATGCAATACGAATGCACGTTTGCAATAATTTCAATAAAAAATTTTCGTGCAAAATGACCATATCTCTAAGTGACGGAGTTGTGCTTAGCACTATTATCTGAAAGGGTCAATCTATAACCTACGTCAAATTATGCTTGTAATCACCTAACGTAGTCTTGAAAACGTACTCTACTAGTTTCAATATTTTCCAAAAAAGGAATTTTTTCTTTCTAAAAGCGCATTTTTGAAACATCCTGAACTATCAGCAGCAGGTGGCACCAGCCAATGACATCACGTAGGCCGTAAAAATTGGGAACAGATTTTTCAAGAAACACACCTAGGTAGGTTGGAAGACGTTATTTCTAAAAATCTATAAAATTTCAATTGCAAAAGTATGAACTGAGTGCGACACCTCGAATGCGACATTGCGTCTTTTAAAGCAAATTGTAGGACCAGCATTAATGGTACTGTAGTTGTGGCTGCTCTAACGGAAATGATATCTAGGACCCCTACGGATTGCAGTCTCTGTCCTTGCGGATATCCTTACAACCTACGCTATTCTGAACCTGGCAATCCCCATCCAGATCGTTCTGTTGTCAAAATCGCGAACGAACTGAACCATTCTAGCAGTCAAAACCCTAAACGCACAGTTTCATCATGTCTCTAAGTCCGACGAGCGAGTTATCCCACCCGATTTCTCACAACAACTCCGTCGCTTCGGCAAAAAAACAGATCGCAGTTTGCTATGCGACAAGTAACAAAATGCAGCGCGTGTTGCTTGATCGGATGCGCGCGCCGCAGTTTTGTAACTGTTGCCGCTCCACTAAATCTTTTGCTTGGAAATTGCGTGAGCTGTGCCCTTAGGGTATCTCCATACTTCATAAGGATCGGCCGATTTAGATCGCTCGACCCTTATAATGCTTATAACGCAATAAGAATCGGCCGATCGAGGACCGATCAAATACCACTTTACCTGTGTTCCGTCCTCATCTTTCCGGCACACTTGCTCACGACTTCTGAGAACTCTGAAGAAAGGAAGCAAGTCAAATCGAGGAAAAA